GGTGGCAGTTGCATGCTGTATCCACTACGCTATACTTCAAAGCCATAAAGAGAGGTAGGAATTCTGGGGTATTTAACCAACCAGAATTCCAATCCTCTCCCAGGCGATGAGATAGTGTGGACCTCGGATGCTCTTTCATCGGTTCCTGTTATATGGGAAAACTCAGTGCCAAATGCTTAATGCACAGACTACCCTATTCCAGTAGCTGAAGTTTATAACTTTTTAGACACTCAACCCACCAGGGGACTCGAACACTGGCCAACAAGGTGGCAGTTGCATGCTGTATCCACTACGCTATACTTCAAAGCCATATAGAGAGGTAGGAATTCTGGGGTATTTAACCAACCAGAATTCCAATCCTCTCCCAGGCGATGAGATAGTGTGGGACCTCGGATGCTCTTTCATCGGTTCCTGTTATATGGGAAAACTCAGTGCCAAATGCTTAATGCACAGACTACCCTATTCCAGTAGCTGAAGTTTATAACTTTTTAGACACTCAACCCACCAGGGGACTCGAACACTGGCCAACAAGGTGGCAGTTGCATGCTGTATCCACTACGCTATACTTCAAAGCCATAAAGAGAGGTAGGAATTCTGGGGTATTTAACCAACCAGAATTCCAATCCTCTCCCAGGCGATGAGATAGTGTGGGACCTCGGATGCCCTTCATCGGTTCCTGTTATATGGGAAAACTCAGTGCCAAATGCTTAATGCACAGACTACCCTATTCCAGTAGCTGAAGTTTATAACTTTTTAGACACTCAACCCACCAGGGGACTCGAACACTGGCCAACAAGGTGGCAGTTGCATGCTGTATCCACTACGCTATACTTCAAAGCCATAAAGAGAGGTAGGAATTCTGGGGTATTTAACCAACCAGAATTCCAATCCTCTCCCAGGCGATGAGATAGTGTGGGACCTCGGATGCTCTTTCATCGGTTCCTGTTATATGGGAAAACTCAGTGCCAAATGCTTAATGCACAGACTACCCTATTCCAGTAGCTGAAGTTTATAACTTTTTAGACACTCAACCCACCAGGGGACTCGAACACTGGCCAACAAGGTGGCAGTTGCATGCTGTATCCACTACGCTATACTTCAAAGCCATAAGAGAGGAGGTAGTAGATTCTGGGGTATTTAACCAACCAGAATTCCAATCCTCTCCCAGGCGATGAGATAGTGTGGGACCTCGGATGCTCTTTCATCGGTTCCTGTTATATGGGAAAACTCAGTGCCAAATGCTTAATGCACAGACTACCCTATTCCAGTAGCTGAAGTTTTAAACTTTTTAGACACTCAACCCACCAGGGGACTCGAACACTGGCCAACAAGGTGGCAGTTGCATGCTGTATCCACTACGCTATACTTCAAAGCCATATAGAGAGGTAGGAATTCTGGGGTATTTAACCAACCAGAATTCCAATCCTCTCCCAGGCGATGAGATAGTGTGGGACCTCGGATGCTCTTTCATCGGTTCCTGTTATATGGGAAAACTCAGTGCCAAATGCTTAATGCACAGACTACCCTATTCCAGTAGCTGAAGTTTAATCCTCTCCCAGGCGATGAGATAGTGTGGGACCTCGGATGCTCTTCATCGGTTCCTGTTATATGGGAAAACTCAGTGCCAAATGCTTAATGCACAGACTACCCTATTCACAGTAGCTGAAGTTTATAACTTTTTAGACACTCAACCCACCAGGGGACTCGAACACTGGCCAACAAGGTGGCAGTTGCATGCTGTATCCACTACGCTATACTTCAAAGCCATAAAGAGAGGTAGGAATTCTGGGGTATTTAACCAACCAGAATTCCAATCCTCTCCCAGGCGATGAGATAGTGTGGGACCTCGGATGCCTTTCATCGGTTCCTGTTATATGGGAAAACTCAGTGCCAAATGCTTAATGCACAGACTACCCTATTCCAGTAGCTGAAGTTTATAACTTTTTAGACACTCAACCCACCAGGGGACTCGAACACTGGCCAACAAGGTGGCAGTTGCATGCTGTATCCACTACGCTATACTTCAAAGCCATATAGAGAGGTAGGAATTCTGGGGTATTTAACCAACCAGAATTCCAATCCTCTCCCAGGCGATGAGATAGTGTGGGACCTCGGATGCTCTTTCATCGGTTCCTGTTATATGGGAAAACTCAGTGCCAAATGCTAAATCCACAGACTACCCTATTCAGTAGCTGAAGTTTATAACTTTTTAGACACTCAACCCACCAGGGGACTCGAACACTGGCCAACAAGGTGGCAGTTGCATGCTGTATCCACTACGCTATACTTCAAAGCCATATAGAGAGGTAGGAATTCTGGGGTATTTAACCAACCAGAATTCCAATCCTCTCCCAGGCGATGAGATAGTGTGGGACCTCGGATGCTCTTTCATCGGTACCTGTTATATGGGAAAACTCAGTGCCAAATGCACAGACTACCCTATTCCAGTAGCTGAAGTTTATAACTTTTTAGACACTCAACCCACCAGGGGACTCGAACACTGGCCAACAAGGTGGCAGTTGCATGCTGTATCCACTACGCTATACTTCAAAGCCATAAAGAGAGTAGGAATTCTGGGGTATTTAACCAACCAGAATTCCAATCCTCTCCCAGGCGATGAGATAGTGTGGGACCCTCGGATGCTCTTCAATCGGTTCCTGTTATATGGGAAAACTCAGTGCCAAATGCTTAATGCACAGACTACCCTATTCCAGTAGCTGAAGTTTATAACTTTTTAGACACTCAACCCACCAGGGGACTCGAACACTGGCCAACAAGGTGGCAGTTGCATGCTGTATCCACTACGCTATACTTCAAAGCCATAAAGAGAGGTAGGAATTCTGGGGTATTTAACCAACCAGAATTCCAATCCTCTCCCAGGCGATGAGATAGTGTGGGACCTCGGATGCTCTTTCATCGGTTCCTGTTATATGGGAAAACTCAGTGCCAAATGCTTAATGCACAGACTACCCTATTCCAGTAGCTGAAGTTTATAACTTTTTAGACACTCAACCCACCAGGGGACTCGAACACTGGCCAACAAGGTGGCAGTTGCATGCTGTATCCACTACGCTATACTTCAAAGCCATAAAGAGAGGTAGGAATTCTGGGTATTTAACCAACCAGAATTCCAATCCTCTCCCAGGCGATGAGATAGTGTGGGACCTCGGATGGAGGAAGGGAAGGGAATTATCAGGGGGGAACGTGCCAAGCCATAATGACAATATAGCACTTAAAAGGGGTCAGGATAAGGATTTGGGATGGGACTGGATGGGGGGGGGATGATTCCCAACCACTTGGACGGCCGGGAATTGAACATCGACCTGCATGAAGCGAGACCGTCGCTCTACCGTCCAGCTCAAGTGGTTGGGACCCGGGCAAGGAGCTGCTGTTCGCAAGATGTAACTGTCTGATAGATCCCAGCTTGACTATGTAAACAGATTCAAATAACTTGGCCTTGAGGTGCCACTGTATGGACCTGTTGTATTCAGACTTTGTCGTCAGTATAAAGAGAGGCTCAGATCTCAAGGCTATTGTAGATTATCACTCAGGCTATGATGCCAATGTCAGAATTGTCAAAATTATGTACCTTTCATACATTAGATCTTTAGTAGATTATGCTGCACCTCTGCTTGCTTTGACGCCTGAAAGAGATTGGAGGGCTTGAAAAATTGCAGAACGAAGCCTTGAGGATAATCCTTGGGTGCCATCGTACCACAACGATACTTAACATGATAAAGGAACTTAATATTCCGAGCGTTGTTGATCGTGTTACTGAAATTAACTGTCAGTGGTATAAAAATGCTTAAGCTAACTCATCTTAACCCTTGCACAGGAGCCCCTCGTTGATTATTGTATTTGAAGGTCAACATTGTTCCAAATGGATAACTAAAACGAACTGAACTCTGAATATATTATTTATAATTTGTACCAAGAGAGACAACAATGGCACTTAACTGCATCGTGGGAGATTACACCATTTCCCATTTTAATCTCCCTTTCCACCCAAGAAACAAATTAAAGATCAGCCCGAGCTTCGTCTTGAGGTAAAGCTCAACGCCTTTAGCCATATTGATGCTCTGTCCAGAGAGGATTGTCTCTCTGAAATCATATACACTGATGGTTCCCAACACCGTCCCGCGTGAGCAGCTGGAAGTGCAGTTGTCCTGACAGTGTGCGATGGCTTATATTTTGAGTTGCGAGTCCGTATAAATAACTGGGGCTCTACCCTTCAGACAGAAGTATTTGCCTCGATTCTCCCACTGAAGTGCAAGTCTTCAAACTTGATACATTAATTGTAAGTGACTCATCCTTAATTGCTCTCAACTCTTAAGACATAGATGTAACATGCTCGTGTCTGAAGCTAGACACAAATACAACAAAATTATTAATGATTAGAGTCCATTTCATGTGGACTCCATCTCATGTTGGCCTCCGAATGCATGATAGACATGATGAGTTAGCCAAAGAATCTGTCTTTAAAGGAGAAACTGAATATAACCTTGGATTGCCAATAAGCAGTCTGAGAGCACAAGTACACAAAGAACTTCAACAAAATCTAAACATGTATATATATATATATATATATATATATATATATATATATATATATATATATATATATATATATATATATATATATATACACATGTTTATGTAATATTAACAATTGTGTAACTAGCTTCACACGATTGTCACTTGCTTATCTAAATGAACTATTGGGTTCAATTCCTGAACCGATTATGTACTTCTATAACCCTTTCCGACACCGCGCACGGGATGGGTATGAGGTGCATAATAAAAAAAGAAACTGAATATAGTAAAAAAAATGATCAACATGCTTAGGTATACACAACAATATGCTGCTACCCTATTCAATATGAAAGATTATGTAGTATAGATCAAACATTAGTTGTAAGTTCATCTAATACCCCATCTCTCAGGATGGTTAGTCATACATGGACACAAGAAATATCATAAAATGCGAGCAAACTATTCTCAAATCTTTTGAGTTATTTTGTTTTTATTATCAACAAGCTTAGGAAGCAGCACATCAGTGTGCTGCTACTCTATCCTATATGAAAGATTACACAGTGTCAATAAAAAATTAGCTATAAGTTCAGAAAATATCCCCATCTCACAGGATGGTTAGTCATACATGGAATCAGGAGAGAACATAAAATGTAAGGCCTATTAGCCTCCACTATCAAAATCTGGGTACAGCTCAAGAATAGCTTCCAATATTCCTGGGTGTATGAAGTAATTATAGAGCTCAAAGTACCTCATACCATTTGGTTTGAAATCACTGATAACAAGAGCAATCACAGATAGTGTTAGAGAGTATGTCCTAACTCATGTTCACATAGTTTACAATTGGAATGTTTATCATTGGGGGTATTCATTATCTGCAGCCACCTGCCATATATATCGATATCCCAGCCTAATTCTGCTAATTACAATATCACACGCTCTAGAGGATGATTTATGCTGTTCGTACATATAATTCTCGGTTCTAAACATCTCATAGCTCTTTATACTCGTGCTTTCTGGGCATTGAGTGTCAATAACTGCTCTTTTGTTTTCCCAAATTTCCTGAAATATTGTGGCTTTTACAGCAGAGATTTGAATGCACATTTCCAACTCAATTTCAGGCTTATCACATGCAGTTTTAGCTGCCGTGTGTGTTTCATCATGCTGGTCAACACCTATGTGAGATGTTATCCATACAAAGGACACTCTGAAACTCTTGTACTGAGCATTAAAAATGTTGTTTATAATGGATGTTACAACCTTTTAGCATTTGTTTTGCATTTTGGGCTTTCAGGGGCCGGAAAAGCTGACTGTCTGCTTTTCTAGAGAAATTGCTAGAGATTGCTAGAGAAAAGTCTGCACCAAACTCAGCCATAGTTTGAGTCTTTGCCTCAACAATAAAAAATTGCTACCCAAATACCACAGTGATTTACACAGTTGGATCTCGCATCCTCAGGAACAACGCACCATCGGTCACTAGCGCTGTATGGATCCCACAATACTATCTCAAGCAGGGATGGCGGTTACCATACCTACAATCTATTTTCACAGCTGAATTATATGCCTTATACCAAGCCCTCCAAATAATCCAAACATTACCAGCTCGGATATATACAATCTGTAGTGACTCCAAGAGTGCGATTCAAGCAATTACGTACTCTTCCACAACATGCAAAGAGTTTGTTTACCCATGCCTTCAACTTCTTTTTGAACATCGATTGAACGGTTATGATATTTCAATCCAATGGGTCCCAGAACATTGTGGTATACACCACTATGAACTTGTAGATCAACTGGCCAAAGCGATGCACAACACGCCTTAAATTACCCGTCATACAATTCTTCGCGTTACACGGTAAGGAGCCTTCAAAGATACCATCACCCAAGATTTTGTAATGAAATGGAAAACGTCATTCTCATCCATGTACTATGGGTCCATAAAAATAAATGGTAAACTTGGAAACATTCATGATATTAAAAGCAGATAAATTGATGTAACGATGACCAGATTAAGGCTGGGACACACGCCAAACTGGAAGCACACAACTCTAAAAACAGAACAGTCATCAACGAACATCCACTGGCATGTGTCAGAAACAATCTAACACTACCTCCTTCACTGTTGCCGACATCATAGTGTCAGATTAAACTTCAGACAAATACTTATCACACTTAAAAAACCTTTTACCATCGAGCACATATTAGGAGGAGACCTCTCGTTACATGAAAAATATCAAATAGTCAAAGCACTGGCTAAATATCTCCAATCGATCAACAAATTAGGCCATATTTGACCTGTGTCACATTTATACCTGTCGTCACCAACAGCCAAACACAGAAAACAACTGCCTCGTCGCAGCACCAAGGATCAGCTGACGCCATAAACACAACACCCCGCCCTTCAGCGTCACAAGTCTCCCTCTAACACGCGCCTCTCTTTACTCGCCGCTCCTCTATCTACACCACAACACAACAAACACTTGAAACCTTGTCACTCTCAACATTAGTGCGTCTTCCAACATTTGTACACGTACAGTCATTGTAGAGAGTAAACCCTTCATGGAAACTGCACCTTCCATCAAGAAGAAGAGAGACATCAGGGTAAGCATAGTGCTCGTGAGGCCGTAAGTTATTTATAAGGAATTAATGGTTTCAAGTGTTATGGCATTCGGGAGTGCTGGGTTTGTCCTTATAATTTTTACTGATGGGCGTGTATTTCAGGGTACAGATATAGTGGAATATTATTGACTAGTACGTTGCATACAATAGGAATATTCAGTTTATTGAGATTGGCAACACTTTCACTCAACCAGCTTGTATATAGGTTGCCCGCTGGTGCGTTGGCAACACTTTTCGCCCAACAAACTAGTAAATATTTCTCTGACTGCTGCTTACTACTTGACAAGTATTAAGGGTGATGTTGGATCTTTCACTACCCTTACATGGAAGGTAGTATCGAGATACTGAATTCTTTAACATATGATTTCAGCATCATAATTGAATCAATCTTATTACATTTCTAATACGAGAAAGGGATTATTCCTGCAATAAGGGTGCAAAAATTGATTGTAGAATCATAAATAAAACCGTTAAGATAAATGACAGTTTTCATATGTACCGTTAACTCGTTGTACAAGTTGTAAATACAACTCGTTGTAAATATGTACCGTTAACTTTAATAATGAAACTCACAATACTGAGAGAACCTACAGAAAAAAAATCCAATGCACAAATTACATCCCCCCCCCCCCCGTTTTTTTGGCAGATCTCAATTCTGCAATAAACGTATATTGTGTAAAAAAGAGGAAATCCTAATGATCATTTTACCCAGTTTACAACCTCATCTCCTTCCTTGCTGTATCTTAATAGCTTGGTCAAGGCTCATTCTATTATGGAATACATAAAGCTTTAGAGACAATTAAAAATGAAGCTATGAGGATAATTCTTGGAGCTCCCAGATGCACAAGTATCATCAACATGAGAGTGTGTGTCAAAACAACACAAGTAAAAAATAGTTTTCCGGTTTGTCCAACTCCATAGTTCAGATTTCTACTTTCTGATTTCGTTCTACTTCGGTATACTGTGATCCTCATTGTTACTATAATTACTCCCAAAACAGGAGGATGGGCTGGATAATGACACTTTAAGCTTTGAGAGCTCTTACTATCTAGTATTGACTTGCTGGAGCCATTTTTACATTACACATAACTACATACATATATATATATCGAAATTTTGTAATGTAATTTGGCTATTTGAGCCTCAAAGTGACCCACTCTTGACATCTATGATTTCTTGCAAATTAAGGTATTCCTTCATCTGACATTATATATTTTTACAAATTTCACTGAAGACTGAAACAGTTTTGTCAATAATATTTTGTGCTGTATTTTTTGTTAATCCCCGTGACGAGTAGCGGACATCAAATTGGACCTCTTCACGTATTTTGAGTAACATGCACATGAATGCAACATCAAGAGCCTGAATATTTGTAATACTTCTCATATCTGTTAGCTGAACATGTTTACCTGCTCCGAATGTTCGAAAAAGAGGTGTAAACATATTTGCAAACAAATAGTCAATCGTAATAGGTTGTGGTTTTGCAAAGAATTTCTCAGGAGAAAAATCAGCTGGCCGAAGCATTCTATCAATGACCATATCTTCAATAAATAATTTGTTCTTCAAGTTATTCTGAAACTGAACATCATACTGCTTTGCATACATCCAGAAATGATCTTTAACATTGTAAGGTGTTGAAATGCTCTGATACATTGGAGCACCATGGAAACCCAATGGGAAGGTCTTGGAGTAACCTTTCATGTAACGACGCATATCAATGGGAACACGACTTCTAATATTGTAGGCGTCTCGTGTCAAGCCGGCCTCCCTTACTACGTCAACAAGAGCCGTGTTAATTACACTTGTAAATCCAGCATTGAACGATATATTTTCAGACTGACACTTGGCATGAAACTTATCAATGTCTGAAATATTCAGAAAAACATTTTCCAAGTATATTGTCTCTGCCTGAGATGGTTCTGGTGCTCCGAAAGCTTCAATGAGGACAGAAGTGGCCGGCTCTTCTTTTTTAAGTTTAAGTAATGAACTCAACCGCTCAGGATCATTTTCAAGAGCCGATTTTATTTGTTGAATAATTTCTGATGTCTGACTGTGGTCTGCAAGTTGACCAAATTGTGAATCATCAATGGGCTTTCCGCTGAGCATGTCATCAATGATCTTATGGAACCACACGACAATCATCACGATATCAACACCATCAAATGCTGAATGTTGGCACTCAAATATCACTGTGTTCCGATATGGAAATTTTTTGTTTATCTCTGGCCGAACAGGAAGGGCTTCAGAGGTAGATGTCAGAATTCGAAGGCGCCACAGAGGTCCATCGGTCAAATTTGAGGGCATGTTTAACACTGACTGTGTTTCCTTAATTGGATCTGACCCTTCAACCACCTGAGAGATAAGGCAACAACAATTAGTTCAGAAATACTGCCATATGAAACAAAGGCTTAAGTAAGGTAATTCAGATAATAGAGCCAGGTATCAATTAATCTAGAAAAACTTGTTTTATTATGGAGCCTGAGTTGTTTATAACAGAATGAGCCAGTATCATTTGACGAATTAACTAGACCAGCCCTTCACTAATTAACCCATTGACCACCAATACTTAACCTAAATATTAGTATAAATTAACGTAGAGGACAAAGTCTCATCATAATATCACTGTTGGTTAACCTAAACCCTCTATTTCCGTTGACCTTAGTTATTAAGTCATTTGTTAGTTAACCTAAATTATGAAGGTGAATTGAACTCATAAGGTCGAGCGCTTGAAGACTTAATGGGCTCAAAAGAGCTTCCAAACTTCACTTCGTCAATAAATCTCAGTAATGTGTTACATAAATTACTGAGTGTTTATATATATTACTTACATAAATTAAGTTTTTTTATTATATATTTAATTTTTAATAAATCAAGACGCAATAAGTTAAATATTCACCTTAACATTTGATAACTAATAACTCAGTAGTGTCAGCTACAAATAATCATAATTTATCAAATATACTGAGCAAAACAGGTATATATGCACCAAGAGTATCTATTGTGGCTGCTCTAGCGACCCTCCAGAGGATGATAGCTCTTAAGACAAACACGAAACCAAATTAAATTTAATGGATCTTATTAAAAGACAACTTTTATGATTCTCATTAAAGAAAGATTCCGTAACGTCCAAAAACTCAATTGTTTGCAGTAGTTTATTCTCAATCTTCATCAAAGATTAATTTATTAGTTGTTCCTTAATAATTTTCAGTTTTCAATATGTTCCATTTTTTTTTAGATGATTCGTTCGCTTGAGGAATCTGTAATCATGACCGGTAAATATATTCATATTTCAGCTTCTCCATTTGAGTGAACTGATCATAGAATTATGCTTGATAACTTAACAAATCCATGTGCAGCCTGTTGCAAGCTGCAAGAGTGTTATGTGTTCTCGATCCTTTGCTGGAATATTATTGAGGTTCATCACACCTGTATAAACATGACACTGCTGATTAAATACAACATACAGAATGTACATATTAGTATAAATTTGTCGATGAAACGTTTTCACTATGAAACAATGTAGGAAACTCTGACCTACTTGTGCTAGTATGGATGAGTTCTCCCCTATTGCTGGCAAGGGCTAGTGGTCTGGTGCATTAGTGGTCTTGGGATTAAGGTCTATCTACCTGTGGAGGATTATTCACCCTTATGCAAACGAGGAGTCACAATAACATGGCTGAAATATGTTGACCAAACCACACACTAGAAAGTGTGTGGAGAATGGTCCAGGACGGACCAAAAAGTCGTCGTCCCTTCACTTTCTAGTGAAGGGACGATGGTTAAAGTCACAACAGCAAAGTCACAAAGAGGTTAAAGTCACAACAGCTGCTTACTGACCAAAAAACCAAGTACAAGTACAGTATAGTCCAGGACTATTATCAGGGTTAGTGATGTGGCGGAAGGTAAGAACACAGATATCTGTTCAGAGATGATGATCTGCAGTCATTGTTTGCTAATTTTCTTAAGAATTCCTTCTACCTTCATGCATCTAATCTTGGAATCATTGTTGCTTATTTTTTGACGAGAATGTCCCAATAAACACATTGCATTATTTACAAGTATTATATATACCATATACTTTTGTTTACACACTTAATCTGTTGCTTTTACATTGGAAAACTGACCCAGGAAAAGGTCTTCCTCTTTTGCTTGTATTATAAGATACTATCAAGTGGATGAATTATATTTCATTTATTGACAAGCCAAATTGAAATAAATTTAAAAATGTCTTCTACTTTTATCCACTGAAGTTTTTGCTGTTCATGCATGATATCTTTTTTCGCTTTCTTAAGAAATTTAATGATTACTGTTTCCTCTCGAATTCCTTGACAGCGGTTTCAATCACTTCTTGGCGTTGCTACATTAAATGTTCAGCTATAATTTCCTATGAAACTTCATAACTGACCTTAATATTATCTCATTTAAACAAGAATATAAGATAAAAATTAGCAGTCCACAAATACATGTACGGAGCCTTTTGTCTTGTCTTATTATTGTTTCTTATTCATAGAGTTCTTGAGGTTTCTTAGACATGGTTTCCCTTCCCTTAAGCCATGCAGGTACCTGGATTGTACCTGAACGGGTTCTGTGAGTTCTTCTACCCCCCAATCCCGGCTTGGGGCCATGCTTGACTTGTTAGAGCTTGGTCCAACAGGCTGTTGCTTGGATCGGCCTGCAGGTCCACATATCCATCACAGCCCGGTTTGTCCGACACTTCTTGAAGAAAACTGTCCAGTTTTCTCTTGGAAAGACAGTCTGGTGTTTGTTTAAACACCTAATCTTCACTAAATGTTTCACTCGTCTTATTATTATTATTCTTTAGAGTTATCTGCAGGGATGTGCAGATAACCTACTTGCATAAGTGTAATTACTATTTGAACCTGCTGGATTGGGCTGTTAGCTCTTGACCCAGCCTTTCTAACCGTCACTTGTCTAATGAACTGACTCCCAATCAGTTTTCTTCTATCATATCTACTACATATATTTCTCTCTAGCACACACACACAAAACACACTTATCTCCAGGATGTAGTCCGTAACAGCTGTCTAACTCACAAGTACCTATTTATTGTTAGGTGAAAAGGGCACCAGGCGCAAAGAAACTCTGCCCATTTGTGTGCCCTGCCTTGGCCGGGAATCCAACCTAAGCACTTAGGACTATGACCCCCCGAGCTCTGTCCACTCAGCCGCCCCCGTGTGTATTTTCTATTTGTGTCTACAGAATCAAGCTCTTGGACCCCACCTTTCTTACCAATCTAACCAAAACAAATAACTGTGTGTGTGTGTGTGTGTGTGTGTTTACTAGTTGTGTTTTACTAGTTGTGTTTTTACGGGGGTTGAGCTTTGCTCTTTAGGCCCGCCTCTCAACTGTCAATCAACTGTTTACTAACTACTTTTTTTTTTTCCACACCACCACACACACACACACACACACACCCCAGGAAGCAGCCCGTGACAGCAGACTAACTCCCAGGTACCTATTTACTGCTAGGTAACAGGGGCATTCAGGGTGAAAGAAACTTTGCCCATTTGTTTCTGCCTCGTGCGGGAATCGAACCCGCGCCTCAGAATTACAAATCCTGCGCGCTATCCACCAGGCTACGAGGCCCCTGTAACCGTGTGTGTGTGTGTGTGTGTGTATATACTCACATAGTTGTGCTTGCGGGGGTTGAGCTTCGGCTCTTAGGTCCCGCCTCTCAACTGTCAATCTACTGGTGTACAGGTTCCCGAACTTCTTGAGCACTATCGTATCTACATTTGGAACTGTGTATAGAGTCAGCCTTCACCATATCACTTCCAATTGCATTCCATTTATTAACTACTCTGACACTGAAAAGTTCTTTCTAATGTGTCTGTGGCTCATTTGGTACTCAGTTTCCACCTGTGTCCCCTTGTGCGAATATCTACCGTTATAATTAATCCCTCCATGTCTACCCAGTCAATTCCCCTGAGAATTTTATATGTGCTGATCATGTCTTCTGTTATGATCTCAGCCTGCAGGAGAAACGAGTCTCCCTCCTTGAGAGTTATTCATCAAGCCTGACCTGATTAGAAGGTCTAGCAAATATTGAGGTGATAACGCATATGTAAAATAGTTGCTTGGATATGTATAACAATTTGAGATTATGGGCAATGAAGAAGAAAACAGATAAATGACTGGCTAGGAGATGTGGATATTTTGCTGGAGGCGTGAGGCTCGCTTCTGGAGGGGCTTTGACCTCACTTGAGTGCCAGACATCGCAGGGGAAAGCCGCGCTCCGTTGAGCTCCCGTCAGAAGGGAACCCCTAGTGATATATCTCGAAGAGAAGAGAAGTATGCAGATGTGCCAGCTGTAGAATCGAGCTGGGAACGTTGTGGTTTCAAGTCCTGGTCGACGAGCAGATATTAAATCGCCCAGAGGCATTATTTTGGGCCGTGGAAGCGCCCTGACCAAGCTCTGTCAGAGGGATAGCGCCCTCGACTAGACAATCTGTGGTTTGTCTTTGGGGAAGAATTTGCTGAGAACTTCGAAGCCAGCACAGATGAAGTAGTTGATGAGACTCCAAGGTAGTGGAGGAGAGGACCTCGAGCTGTGAGGAGAAGCAGTGAAGAGGAGTGTCACGTGCTTCTGTAGAGGTGGTGAAGCACCACAGTTGCTCAAGGAAACTTCATGATAGCAGCCTGGAGGAGCTGCAGAGGATCCTGGTAGTAAACCCGGAAGAACTTGAAGAGATCAGGGTAGTGAACTTCCAGAGGTGGAAGGGAAGTTCTGGTGGATTACTTATAGGGAGTTGATAGTGTTTGGTTGTCATTAGCGTGCAAGACGCAGTGAGAGGTGAGTGACTGTTTGCATTCTTATGTCAAGGAGTGTTTTATACTGAAGTTTAGAGTTACAGTCGTAGGCTGGATTACCTACAGATGTATGTGTTCTAGGACTGATAGAGTGGTCGATTGATCATTGTTGTGTATCAAGGAACGTTTATAATGATATATGTTATTGCATTCACATGCTGATTTTCTCTGTACACATTTATAGATACATATATATATTCTCTTGCTGATGGTGCAACAGTGTATGTAGACTTGATCAACTTGAGGAGGTTGACAGTATCAGGTAGTGAACCAGGAGTTAGGATACCACTTGATAAGCTGATGATAGAGTCCTGAAGGTGTTGGAGTGCAACCTGATTGTAATAGTATAGAGTATAGGATTCATTATTATTATATGTGTATATGTATTGTGTATGTGCTCTGTCCAGTAAATGTATTCAAATTTCCTGGTGTTTGACCTTGTCCTAGTGAGGCTTCCCAGGAGGTAGTAAAGAAGGAGAGAGAGAAAGAACCAAGAACCACTGCTGTGGACAGGGTAGAAGGTAATACTAATAAGTCAAAGGGGGATTGAGGAGATCATATCACCTAAGGAGAGAGTGGGGAGTCACAGCGGCTCGAGTGGGTGTGTGCACGTGACAACGAGGCTAAGTGTTGGAGCCGCATCCCCTAAATGTGTGATGTTGAGCCCCTCTCCAAGGGCCAGAAGCGCCAAATGTGATCTCCTAGCGAGGTATAAGCACTCTACCGAGTTGTGGGTTGGGTTGTCTGCAAAGGAGGAACAACGACGACAACACCACCAACACACAATCTATAATACTTCCCGAACTCTTCTGTCGTCCAACATCGTGAGGTGCAATTCACGTAGTCTTTCCTCGTAACTCATGCCTCTTAGTTATGGGACATGTCTAGTAGGATACCTATGCATTACGGGTTATTTATGCCCGTGCCAGGTCTTGGGTGGCTTAATCTTCATCAATCAAGTATCTCACCACTTTCTCCAGTTGCGTCCTATGCTTTGCATGGTATGAACTCCATGCTGGAGCCGCATACTCCGGGATTGGTCTTACATATGTGGTATAGAAGGTTCTAAATGATTCCATAATTCCTTTCACAAGTTTCTGAAGTCAATTCAAATGTTAGCCAGCCTTACATACGCCGCTGATGATTTTCTTTTGATATGGGCTTCTGGAGACAAGTTTGGTGTGATATCAACTACTCACTTAGTTGTGCTTGTGGGGGTTGAGCTCTGGCTCTTTGGTCCCGCCTCTCAAGTGTCAATCATCTGATGTGTAGGTTCCTGAGCCTATTGGGCTCTATCATATCTACACTTGAAACTGTGTATGGAGTCTGCCTCCAGCACCTCACTTCTTAATGCATTACATTTGTCAACTACTCTGACACTAAAAAAGTTCTTTCTAATATCTTTCTATATTTCCACCTTTGTCCCCTAGTATGTTTGCCCCTTGTGTTAAATAGCCTGTCTTTATCTACCCTATCCATTCCTTTGATAATCTTGTATGTGGTGATCATGTCGCCCCTAACTCTTCTGTCTTCCAGCGACGTGAAGTTTAATTCCTGAAGTCTCTCCTCGTAGCTCATACCTAGTTCGGGTACTAGTCTGGTGGCAAACCAGACTAGTAGTCGAACCAATTTAGTCTTATGCTTGACTAGATATTTACTCCATACTGGAGCTGCATACTCCAGGATTGGTCTGACATATGTGGTATACAGAATTCTGAATGATTCCTTACACAAGTTTCTAAAGATAGTTCTTATGTTGGCCAGCCTAGCATATGTCGCTGATGATATCCTTTTGATGTGGGTCTCTGGGGACAGGTTTGGTGTGATATCAATCCCCAGATTTTTCTCGTGCCGTATTTCACCTCCCAAATGTTACCTTGTGTTCAGCCTTCTGCTCCCTCCACCTAATTTCATTACTTTACACTTTCCTGAGTTAAACTTCAATAGCCATTTTCTAGACTATTCCTCAAGTTTGTCCAGGACGTCCTGTAGTCTCTGCCTATCTTCAATCTTCTCGTAATTTTTCCATCATCAGCAAACATTGAGAGGCACGAGTCTATACCCTCCGGAAGATCGTTTACATATATTAAAAACAGTATGGGTCCAAATACAGAGCCCTCTGGGACTCCGCTAGTAACATCTCGCCACTTTGATGTCTCCCCCTCTCTGTTACTCAGTGTTTCCTGTTGCTTAGATATTCCCTTATCCACTGGAGCACCTTACCTTTTACTCCTGCCTGTTTCTTCAACTTTCGCAACAGCCTTTTATGGGGAACTGTGTCGTAGGCTTTCTGACAGTCCAAGAAAATGCAGTCTGCCCACCCTTCTCTTTCTTGCCTAATTTTTGTCACCTGGTCATAGACCTCTACTAAGCCTCTGAGGCATGATTTACCATTCCTGAACCCATCCTGGTGGTGTGTCACAAACCTCATTCTCTCCAGATGTTCTACGAGCCTTTTCATCACGATCTTCTCCATCACCTTGCATGGTATACAAGTTAGGGAACTTCCTGTAGTTCATTGCCTCTTGCCTGTCACCCTTTTTGTATATTTAGCCTACATTAGCTGTCATCCAGCTTTCCAGTAGGTCTCCTGTTTCCAGTGTCATGTCATACAAAATTGAGTGTGGCTCACTTAGTGCTTCTGCACCTTTTTTAGTATCCATAGTGAGGTTCTGTGTGGCCCAACAGCCTTTGTCACATTCAGCTTCGGCAGATTTCTTTTGACTTCATCACTGGTGAACTCAAATTCCTCCAGGTTGATCGGTTTGTCGCCTCCTCTCTTAGTATAGGGGTTTTTCCTTGTTATATTGTGAAAACCTCTTGAAATCACTTATTCAGTTCTTCACACACCATCTTGTCATTCTGTGTATCTATTCTCCCCTTTTCCAAGTTTCATCACGTTATTTCGCTGCTGTTTTCCTCCTAATGTGGCTGTGAAGCAGTTTTGGTTGGCTCTTGGCTTTACTTATTATGTCATTGTCATACTGTCTCTCCACTTCTCTCCTTACTCTGAGGTAATCATTCCTGGCCCTCAAGTATCTCTTCATGGTCTCTTGTGTTCTGATATTTCTGTAGTGTCTCCATGTTCTTGTACTCAATTGCTTCACTACCTTACATTCCTGATTTAACCATGGATTCTTCTGTTGCTTTTCATTTTTCTCCTTTTGAACCGGGAAAAACCTGTCTGCAGCTTCCTGACACTTCTGGGTAACGTAGTACATCATATCTTATACAGTCATTTCTCTGAGTTCTGTTTCCCATGGTATTCTCATTAGGAAATTTCTCATCACGTCATATTTTTTTTTTTTTTTTTTTTTTTTTGAGATATATACAAGAGTTGTTACATTCTTGTACAGCCACTAGTACGCGTAGCGTTTCGGGCAGGTCCTTAATCCTATGGTCCCTGGAATACGATCCCCTGCCGCGAAGAATCGTTTTTTCATCCAAGTACACATTTTACTGTTGCGTTAAACAGAGGCTACAGTTAAGGAATTGCGCCCAGTAAATCCTCCCCGGCCAGGATACGAACCCATGACATAGCGCTCGCGGAACGCCAGGCGAGTGTTTTACCACTACACCACGGAGACTGTAAATTTTCCTCTTCGGTAATTCAGCCTTTTCCTTTCCGATCCCTTTCTTGGATACGTTATCCATACTTCTATCAGATACTCAAATATCAATACGCTGTGGTCACTCACTCCCACCGGGGCTTCAAATTTCACTTCCCTTATGTCTTATTTTGTTGTTGTTTTAGATTCAGCTACTCGGAACAAAGCGTTCCCAGTAAGACGGACTACAGTCAGCCCGTAGTGGATTTTCCTGGCCCATGAGAGGGGCTCTAACTGAAAATATATATATATATATATATATATATATATATATATATATATATATATATATATATATATATATATATATATATATATATATATATATATATATGCGGAAAATCCACAGGGAAATATGAAATGAGGTGAACGTTTCGGCTTGTTAAACCCTTTAGGCTTTAACAAGCCGAAACGTTCACCTCATTTCATATTTCCCTGTGGATTTTCCGCATAAAATGATCAGTGTTTTGTGATCGTCAATTACAAATATATATATATATATATATATATATATATATATATATATATATATATATATATATATATATATATATATATATATATATATATATATATATATATATATATATATATATATATATATATATATATATATATATATATATATATATATATGTTATATTGTTATATAAGTGTGTGTTTTCTGTAAACTGTAACATTGCAATAAAATCAAATAAAAAAAAAATAATAATAGGGGTGGAAGGAGAGGAAAAGATTAAAGTATTCAGTGAGAATCCACAAGGTCTTCTCTGAACACTATTTATTTTCTTCTTCGAGGATGTGGGTCCCTTTAATTAAACCAGTGGTGGTACCCCTATATATATATATATATATATATATATATATATATATATATATATATATATATATATATATATATATATATATATATATGTCGTACCTAGTAGCCAGAACGCACTTCTAAGCCTACTATGCAAGGCCCGATTTGCCTAATAAACCAAGTTTTCCTGAATTAATATATTTTCTCTAATTTTTTTCTTATGAAATGATAAAGCTACCCATTTCATTATGTATGAGGTCAATTTTTTTTATTGGAGTTAAAATTAACGTAGATATATGACCGAACCTAACCAACCCTACCTAACCTAACCTAACCTATCTTTATAGGTTAGGTTATGTTAGGTAGCCGAAAAAGTTAGGTTAGGTTAGGTTAGGTAGGTTAGGTAGTCGAAAAACAATTATTTCATGAAAACTTGGCTTATTAGGCAAATCGGGCCTTGCATAGTAGGCTGAGAAGTGAGTTCTGGCTACTAGGTACGACATATATATATATATATATATATTATATATATAATTATATATATATATATATATATATATCCTGAAGAAGAGACGGCAAGAGAGGAAGGTGTTAGTGACACACAGTGTGTGTGCGATGCTCACCTGGAAGTCGATGGAAGGTTTTGGCATCTCACACAGCCACCACTCTTCACGGTGGCGGAAACAGGTCCTCAACAGCTGAACCTTACTGAAAACCAAACAACTTGGTTAATCCTTTTCCTGCCGTGATTCACTGCTACTTCGTCGCTTATATGTTGTTAGGGATTATTTTACTAATTGAAAATATTTATAAAATAAACAAATTTTGTCAAATAAATAAGAAATATGGTAGACGCCCATTAGAAGTTAATTTGCAAAAATGTTTTCACATTCCATAGCCAAAACAAACCCTATTTACCAACTTATAAGACACTTCATGTTAATTTAAGTGCATTACAAGGAGACCTCTGATACCTGGTCATTGTGCTAGAGTTAGCGTTCCTTAAAGC